ATAATAATGTCTACATTTTTAATTAGTTTGTTTAGAGAAAAGTACACACTAATACAAAAAACTGCCCCTGATCATGACAACACTCAAAAATAGGCCTGATTATAAAATAATGTATGAATCTATCAGTAGTTTGAACCAGTTGTTTTCGCTTTATGTCATGAACACAGATTATATTGCATGCTGAGACAGACGCCCATGCACACAAATAAACCAGAAAGCTTAGCTGCTGCAGAACTCAGCCCAGGCAACTGACTTGCAATTATTATTTTTTTCCTAGTGTGATTATACAGTATGCACTTGAGTTTGTACATTTTTGTGTGTGTGTGTGTGTGTGTGTGTGTGTGTGTGTGTGTGTGTGTGTGTGTGAGAGAGAGAGAGTTCTGCAGGTGTTCAGAGCTCAGAACTGTGTGTGTGTCTTTGTGTTGGTGTACACCTAAGGTTATCAGAACACACAAACATTTCTAAGCCTAGTAAATCAACTCTTCAAAGAAACTTTAAACTAACATTTCAATTAACTAATGATTAATCATGAATTACCATTAGTAAACTCATAAACATTGTTAACTAATAAAAATTAAGTAATGTTCATTAAAAACAGAAAATGTAAAAAAGCTAGAAGCATGAGCATTGATAAAGCAAACATATTCTGTTAATAATACGTCATAATTTCTAAACATGATCTAAACAATGAAATCACATCATATCAAATGCAAAATTATAAAAATAACTATTACTATAGAGCCCTTGGAAATTAACGACAGTCATACATTTTAAAGAGGTTTAAGCATGTGAATTATCCATGTGAAAGAAACAGGCAGAAACAAACAGAACATTTGTTTTGACTTGTTTTATCAGCAAAACAACAGATCCTTGAGAACATGAACTTTTCCCAAGAGAAGAGTGGACAGCGAAAGGCTTTTTTTAACAGCTCTGTGAGCTGAAAGTCAGTTCAGTCTGTGAGAGGAGCTTTGACTTCAGGTGGTCAAAGGTCAGTCAGTGGCAAGATGAGGTGACGGGAAATGGGCGTGTCCACTACAACAGCCATACCTTCCACTGTTCAAGATAATGATGTCTGATAAATGAAATAATTGGAAATGAAACATTTAGCTCCGCAATTAGCAGATTTGCGCTTTAGCGGTCTTGTGTCCAGCACTGTTTGTGTGTGTATGTACAGTATAATTAGTGTGTTTCTGTGTATATGTATAATGAAATTAGTGTGTTTCTGTGTATATGTATAATATAATTAGTGTGTTTCTGTGTATATGTATAATATAATTAGTGTGTTTGTGTGTATACGTATAATATAATTAGTGTGTTTGTGTGTATACGTATAATATAATTAGTGTGTTTGTGTGTATATATAATATAGTGTATTTGTGTGTATATATAATATAATTAGTGTGTTTGTGTGTATACATATAATATAATTAGTGTGTTTGTGTGTATATATAATATAATTAGAGTGTTTGTGTGTATACGTATAATATAATTAGTGTGTTTGTGTGTATATGTATAATATAATTAGTGTGTTTGTGTGTATATGTATAATATAATTAGAGTGTTTGTGTGTATATGTATAATATAATTAGAGTGTTTGTGTATATGTATAATATAATTAGAGTGTTTGTGTATATGTATAATATAATTAGAGTGTTTGTGTGTATATATAAACACAGAGTGTTTGTGTGTATATGTATAATATGAGTGTTTGTGTGTATATATAATATGATTAGTGTGTTTGTGTGTATACGTATAATATAATTAGAGTGTTTGTGTGTGTATACGTATAATATAATTAGAGTGTTTGTGTGTATACGTATAATATACTGTAATTAGTGTGTTTGCGTGTATACGTATAATATACTGTAATTAGTGTGTTTGTGTGTATACGTATAATATAATTAGTGTGTTTGTGTGTATACGTATAATAAAATTAGTGTGTTTGTGTGTATACATATAATATAATTGGTGTGTTTGTGTGTATACTTATAATATAATTAGTGTGTTTGTGTGTATACTTATAATATAGAGTGTTTGTGTGTATATGTATAATATAATTAGTGTGTTTGTGTGTATACATATAATATAATTAGTGTGTTTGTGTGTATACGTATAATACAATTTGTGTGTTTGTGTGTATACGTATAATATAATTAGTGTGTTTGTGTGTATACGTATAATATAATTAGTGTGTTTGTGTGTATACGTATAATATA